AAAAAAAAGCAGCTCATCCAACTTCTTTTCTAATTAGTTAATGCATAGAAAAACATTTTATAAAAATTTGTCAGTAACGTCACCATTTATTTGCGGCTAATTACTTTAAGCCTTAATTGGTCCAAAAGCCAAGCTTTGTACACAAATTTCCTTGCTAATCAATAGTTTGATTTATATTCTATCCAAAAAAAGTCATCATCTGCCTAAAGTACAAAAAAATAACAACAAAATTTACCTTTTTCGCCGACATTGGTATATTTTCCAACTACGCCTTGCACGTGCCAATTATGAAAAGAATGTAAAATGTCAAAGCAGACACAAATTTCGCACTGGCATACAGTGCTGCCATATTCTATACATATTTCACATTTGAAATGTAAAAAAAATTTTGGCCTTTGTGACAGAAAAAAAAATCTATGTGGTTTCATTTTTCGTGGCCTTGCCGATATGCTGATGATGTACAGCTCTATCTTTCAGCAAATTTCGAGAATGTAGATGAACTTTGTTTTAAGCTTAACAATGACTTAGCATCCATCTCTTCCTGGGCGTTGAGAAATAACCTTGGCCTTAATAGTGAAAAATCATATGTGCTATCTATTTCTAAGAAACACAACAACTCAGATGTTCCGCAACTATTTATTGCCGATAGTTGTCTCATATTTGTGTCAAAGGTGTCAAATCTTGGCTTTATTATTAACTCTAGCCTTTCATGTGACGATCACGTAAACTCTGTTGTCAGCAGAGTGTACAGCATTTTAAGAAATTTGAGGATGACTGCCGCCTACACTCCGGTTGACGTTAGAAAAAAACTTGCGTTAGAATTAATGTTACCGATCATATGCTATCCCGTACTTGTCTACAGCAAATTGAATTCTCAATCTGCCCATTAAATTGATGTTGTGTTTAACCACATAAAACGCTACGTATTTGGATTAGCGAAATATGACCATATCTCTGGGTGGAGGTCACGTTTGTTGGTTTGTGAAATCTCTGAGTATTGGAAAGCCAGGAATTGTATATTTCTATGTCGACTTTTGCTAGACAATGCTCCTAGCTATATCTACAATAAACTAATATTCCCTAAATCAGCTCGAATAAACGACTTGATAGTACCATCTTTTAATTTTCTAACCTCTGCAAGGCTATTCTTTGTCAATGCTATTCGTATCTGGAATTCTATTGAATAAAAGCAACTTTAAGAACACTATCTATACGTACTTTCGCTGAACCAAATATTTATTTTTTATTATTATTATTAATATTATTTTGTGAGCCTGGGTTTCGCTATCTAAATGTTTTACTTTCTCTTGTCATCTGTGTTGATCTTTGCTACATATGTATAATGTGATATATATTTTATTTAGTATTTGTTATAAGTAATCTGTAACTAATAAAGTTGCAACTTATATTTAAGTACCAACTTAAAATTCACTTCTATTCATAGTCGCTTTCAGACTTCTACTAAGTAGTTTTAACTTAGTTTTACGATATTGCAAAACGAGTGAAAGTATATCGATTTTTCTTTACGATATTTTCGAAAAATGACATTTTTATTAAATAATATCAAGTTTAATAATCCGTTTATGTAATTTTTACTTTCATTGCATGTTTATTCAAAAGAATAAGGTATAAGTTTCTTGTTAATTGTGTGAAATAGCCAGAACTACCGCAATGATGTGAAGTCGATGTTTATCGAAAGCATGCTGTGAAACATACAAACACATATCTAAATGTTACGCACTAATTTGCTTTAAAAGAGCAAGCTAGAAGTTAACCTAATATTTGTGCATTTATATATGTAAATCATTCCAATTATAAAATTGTGATGTAGCTTTATTCGAAATGTAATACGCATTTTATTTCATCTTCCGATTAAAATGGATCGCTCTTTGTAAATTTCAATTGGAGATCATTCAATGTTATCAAAATCACGCTCAGCCAACTTAATTTGTACATATTTCGTCTTTTTTTCCTTAAACTAATAAAATACTTCTTCCTAGTTACGACTTAATTGCAGCTGCAGCCGAAACTAAATTTTAAGTTGGTACTTAGCCAGAAAAGTCGAAACTAAGGCGACTATGAATAGCTTTAGTTGTAACTTAGGATAGTTTCGACTTAGTTGTGAACTAAATATGACTATGAATATGCGCCTATGTATTTTATTTTACTGGTTTTTTAATCTCTGTTTTGTACTAAAAAGATCTATGATCTTATTATTATTATTATTGGGGATAGAGCACTGCGACCTTAAGATCTATTGTACCCCCTTCATGGATTATAGTGTGTCTATTAATCCAGTATCCGAGAGAATCTTTAGTATAGAACCTAAGTTTATGGATTTCACTTCGCCTTTGGTTATCAGATGTTCACCCAGGTGCCTTTTGCGTTTATGCATCAGTGCAGGGCATTCTTCTAAGATGTGCTGTGCAGTCTCGTATTCCATCCTGCAAAATCTGCATCGCTCATGCGAGTAAATTCCCAGTTTAGTCAGGTGATAGTTCAGCCTGCAGTGTCCTGTCAGGATTCCTGTAACAATTCTTAAGTTATTCTTTGATAAGCTCATACATTCCTTGAAGCGTTTTAGGTTATATGTTCCTAAAAGTGCTTTGGACTGCTCTAGACCTGGTAGGTTATCCCAGTAGTGATTCCTCTGAGCTTCTTCCTCTAGCCGAACTAGTTTAGAGCGTGCCCCTTTTCCCAGGCCGCAGAAAGGTTCTGGACCGGTGAAAGGGGNGACACCCTGCTGCCCCGATATTGGTACCAGTCATCCGTAGTAAAGCTCTTTTCGCCTGAGTCTGTATGTAAATATGAAGAGGGGTAAGATCTAAAAGAACCTCCAAGGATGCGGTTGGACAGGTTCTCATGGCTCCCGTTATGCATACTCATGCCAGCCTTTGTATCTTGGAGAGCACTTTGCTCCAAGTTTTGAAGTTCTATCGGCCCAAACGATGGCTCCATAGGTTATCATGGGTCGTACTGTTGTCGTGTAGATCTATCTCAGTATCTTTGGTGTGCAGCCCCAACTCTTTCCTGCCATGGACCTACACGTCATAAATGATCTTACAGCTTTCTTCGCAGTTTCTTCTACGTGTGCTTTCCAGAGTAGTTTTTGGTCTAGTATTACTCCTAGGAATTTAACCTCTTTTTGGTACATGATGTTGGTTCCATCTAGCCTTATCGCTTTTAGACTATCAAGTTTGTATTTCCTTGAGAATGGTACTATAGTGGTTTTTGCTGGATTTACATTCAGCCCCACTTTGGCACACCATATTTAAGTTACGTTCAGCCCTAGCTGGATTCTATCACACAGGGTGTTTTCGAATTTCCCCCTGCATAATATTACAATGTCGTCGGCGTACCTCTGGCAGGTTAGTCCAGTATCTGTTAGCTCTTGGAGCAGTCCGTCGACGACTTATCTATGATCTTATTGTACTAATGTTTTTTTTTCTTTCTCTTAATAAGTGAAATGAAATACATTGTTTTGGAATGTACCACAATTTTTCATGCTTATTTACCCATAAGAAAACTTTTTGCTTCCGAACACTCAACAGCAACTGATTTGATTTTCTTTGCCGAAATACCAGCGAAGCATCAGTCAATCGTCAATTATCGTAAGACGCACGAAGACGATGATAGTATACATGTGTCGACGACGCAGCAAGTAGCATTGTGAAGCCCACCCAGCACGCAAAATATCCGGAAACGTATCCGAAAATGGAAACAATTTCGTATAAAAACCTGACGATTCATCCGTTTTCCGATTCTGTTTTCGGACGTTTTTCGGATCAATTCTCCCACTAAAGTGTTCATCCGACACGTATGTGCAGAAAGCTATCGAAAATGGTTGTAAAACGCGATGCGCTTTCGGCTGTTTACCTGAAATTTGTCTGATAAAATTTTTGGTTGAAAACGATTTCATTATGAACTTCACAGAAACTTTTTCATAGTTATAGGAAACCAAACAAAAAACAAATTTAAGATTCAGCAACTTTTTCAATTTGAATACCTAATTTTAATGTGTTGCTTCTGACGGAATTCGAACCTGGGACCTCCTGAAAGCTAACATATAGTAGCATACTTCTCT